GGGTTGTTCAATTGACAAGCCCACTTGAATGAAAATCCATTTCTTTTCTTGCTGTAAAAACCTTTTGAAAACTTATCAAATCAAGAATTCTTAGGACTTATTTGTAAATATTATTTTGTATAAATAATAATGCATATCTCAGCTGTAAAATTGATAGATGAAGACTTTTCTTGGCCTTTTCAACTCCTTTGATTTGTTTGAAGAGGACTCCTACAGTGGAGAAGCTTCAACAACTTCTGGACTAGGGTTGCTTTTCTTCTTCGCACCTACCTTCCTCTTTCTATTTCTTTGTGAGCTTTGTCAAAGTAGCTGCAGCTTTCATCTTAAATTAGAAACCTCCTTCCTCTTTTTGTTGAACTGCAGCAACACGCCAACACCTGAATATATGACCTATTCCTGAAGTTAAGTCACAAAGCCTAACTCTTCTTCTATGGAAACACCATCAACAACTTCGTCTCTTCTTAACTAGCACCTTACTGTCTGATTTTGAGAAATTTTATATATGACGAAACAGACAGAGCTTGAAAGACCTTGTTAAATTCCACCATATTGTTATCAAATATTCTCATTGAAATCAACCTTGACATCAATCATGCATGTTGGTGAGGCAAAAATACCAGAAGTAGATGGAAAAGAAAATCAGTCATGCTATCAGTAACTGACCATGGATTTTTTAACAAAGAATCAAGTAGAACTACGACTACGAGGCACTGTGTAGACCCATACCAAAAAGGGCAAGAAACAGAGGAAAGGAAAAGAAAACAAAACCACCAACTTTGCTGCTCACCTTATTTTTTGTATGACCCCCAATACAAGTCCTGATTTTTTGTATATTCTATAGTAAGGGAATCAGCTGGGGGAGGGGGGGGGGTGAATTGGGTTTCTCAGTTTCTAAGTTGGAATACCTGAAGTTGATTCAATCTTTGATTTACAGCTACAGCACAACACATTAAATCATTAAACAATGCATGCAATCGTATTCAGTAATCAATTCAAGCACATGAAACCCTATTCGGCCTAGGCTATTTGCAAGAGCTCAGCAACACATTCGAGATTAATTAACTTATGCAAGAGATTATCTAAACATTCAAGCATTCATAAATTGATTATGCAAATTAAAAGTTTAGTTGAGCTCATCAAACCTCATTTGCAAGCCTGAACTGAATTGCTTGGAGAATGTAAGAGACAAGACATAAAGAAGAACAGCGAGGAGATATCTCAATTTATATAGGCATGGCTCTTCCCAAGCCTACATCCTGTCCCCAAGGTCACCACCTTGAGAGTTTCATCCACCAACTAGTTGGGCTTAACTGCGCCAACTAAACCATGTACATCACAGTACATGGATAGCCTTCAAGGGTCCTATCCAAACCATTACACCACGCCTTTGTCTTCCCTCCAAGAGGGCTCGATGCCATGCCTCCACCTTTACACATTGAAGACTCAATGCACCTTGGATAGCCTTCACAGGTCCTATCCTAACCCTCCATGAATAGCCTTCACAGGTCCTATCCAAACCCTTCACAAACCAACAACAAGAACACCCTTGTTCTTGTTTTTCTCTAACACTTCTTCCTTTGATAGATGTTTACAGTTGAAGCACATGAGACACAGCTTCCTTACAACATTGAAGCACAAATATAGCTCAAACTATTCAAGCTTGACTTGGGAAATAGAGCTGCCTTACTCTAGTGGGTGGGGATGTCTCTATTGGTTTGGGTATGCCAAGTAGAGAAGAGATGAAGCTATGAGATAACCATTATCCCATCCCAACTAATTCTCTGAAGTCAAAGCCTTTTATACCCACATCCTCTAACATTCAAGAGAGAGATCTCTATCTCTCTAACATTCCAAATATTTGGAATACACACCACTTGCCAATTCGAGTATGGTTTAGATAAGAATGAAAAACTTGTCCTTTCTAGACTTTATACTAAGTAGGAAAACTTTATGCTTTTGAAAGCACTTTCTCTTTT